TTCATCCAGCTCTGCACCTTGTTGTCTCGGTCTCTCCTTTGTGATATACTTCGGTGTAAATGTAGATGGGTGGGTTAATAAGTTTGCAGATGACACAAAGATCAGTGGAGTTGTGGATAATGGAACTGCCTCCATCACATTTCCAAGCAATGTATTCCAGACCCCAACTACTCACTGTATGAAAAAATTTTCTTCTCACATCACCTTTGCTTCATTTGCACATCACTAAATCTTTATTCTTTTACAAGTGAAAACAGTTTCTCCCTATTACTCTATCCAGTCTGCTCATGGTTTTGAAAAGTTCTATTGAATCTCCTCTCAGCCTTCTTCTCTCTAGGGACAACAGTGTTAACTTCTTCAATCTATCCTCATAATTCAAGTATCTCATTCTTGGAACCATTCCTGTAAATTGCTTCTGTACTCTCTCTAAAGCATTTACTATATGACCCATAGAATGGCTATACAACACTCCAGCTGACGTCTACCAAGTATATAATACAAATTAAACTTCACCTGCCTGCTCTTGCATCAATGAAAAAAAACATGTTTTGCTGAAGCTTTTCAACTTACACTCATCAGGCCGTCAGTGTAAAGGGGAACAACATTTGTACCGTATGAGAAGAGAGAACTGACAGGTTAGAAAGTGGATTCTGATTGAGAATGCACTGGTTAGATAATGACTCACAGTTAACAAGAAATTGATAATGCAAGAGAGAATAGAATATGAATATAAAATAGCAGGAAACATTAAACCACATTGCAAAAGCCTCAATGGGTATGTAAAAAGGAAAAGACTTGCAAAGACATTAAATATTTCTGCAATGGTGCTTGCAGATTAGAAGGTTCAAGTGTAACTCCACTGTTAAAGAAAGGAGGGAGAGAGAAAACAGGGAACTACAGACCCATTAGCCTGACACCCCAGTGATAGGGAAAATACTAGAATCTATTATAAAGTACATGATTACTGTTTATTTAGTAAATAATTGTCTTATTGGACAGAATCAGCATAGATTTATGAAAAGGAAGTCACATTAACATACCTGATAATGTTGTTTGAAGATATTACTAACAGTTAATAAGGAGGAACCAGTGGATGTGGTTAATTTGCATTTTCAGAAGATTTTCAATAAACACCCATACAATCTTTAGTAAATAATATTAAAGTTCAATGGATTGGGGTTTATAAAATAACATGGAGATAGGGTTGACTAACAGGCAGAAAACAGAGAATACAAATAAATGGATCATTCTTAGCTGACAGGCTAAGACCAGAGGGGACCTTAATGATCAGTACTTGGACTCCACGGGTTCATCAATGATTTGGACATTGGGACAAGTGTAATAGATGTTGATGTGTTCGTCAAGCTGGGAGGTTTGATAGCAGATGTTTCGTCCTCTTACTAGATGACATCCTCAGTGCTGTGGAGCCTCCTGTGAAGCGCTGTTGTCTTGTGCCGGTTCGAATTTATATGGTTTGGTTTTTGCTGCTTCCGGTAAGTGCCGGTTCCGGCCGTGCGTTGTAATGGTCGGTATATTGGGTCTAATTCAATTTGTTTGTTGATGCAGTCCGTGGATGAATACCAAGCCTCCAAGATTTCCCTGGCTGTCCTCTGTTTGGCTTGGCACTATAACCCGGTCTCCAACATTTGAAGCTTATGTCTTCAAATAAACTTGTTGGACTATAACCTGGTGTCATGTGATTTTTGACTTTATTGAAAGAGGACTTAAGTATAGGAGAAAAGAAATGTTGCTTCAATTGTGATGAGACTGCACACAGAGCATTGTGTGCAAATCTAATCCCCTTGTCTGAAGAGGAGCTACTTGGCCATAGGGAAAGCGCGGTAGAAGTTAGCCAGACTGATTCCTGGGAGGATCCTGACAGGAAAGATTGAGGGGTCTGGGCCTGTATTTGGAGTTTAGAAGAATGAGAAGTGATCTCCTAGAAACTTACAAAATTCCTGAAGGGATTGACAGAGCAGATAACCGGATGTTTCCTGTGGGGACTAGGAGCAGGGGCATAGCTCAGAATAAAAGGCAAGCCTTTGAGACAAGGGGAAAAGGAAGTGGTGATGAGCCTTTGGAATTCTCTGACCCTGTTGATAAACTGCTTCAAACTTGTGTCTATCTTCTGTCTGTGCATTGACAATATAATCTTTAGGTTTGTCCAGAAGTGCTCTTCGGAAAAATTCAATTGATGCAGATGCAATGACTACCAGCTAGGTTAGCTTCAGTGATGTGTCATTCTGTACCTTTACATTAACGTATATCCACAAATTGATTGATATTGTCACCTAGTCATTGGCTGTACAACATTGGTTTAAGTCTGTGCAACCTGGAGTTCACTTGAACCCTAAGTTAATTTTCTGGAAATTGGAAAACATTGTCAGGATCTTTGCAAGCATCATTAGAATTGCTGTAGGAGTCTGATGAAGAGTCACCTGGACTCAAAATGTTAGCTTGCTCTCTCTCCATGAATGCAGTAATGACCCACTGTGATCTCTAGCATTTGTCGTTTTCAGTACAGATTCCAGCATCTGCAGTAATTTGCTCCTACCATAGGAGTTTGTTCTTTGTAATCCTTTGTTTCCCAATATGATGAGGTTTTACTGCCTGTCTTTCTTTATCAGCTGCCTGTTGATCTGTGAAATGAAGTTTCATTCTTTCTTCAATTAGCTGAAATTCTAACAGAATGTCACTGAAGTGCCAGTCCAATATCAAATATTTACTTTCCATCTTTGCTGTGTAGCTTTGTGCTCTTTGTAAATTGCCAGTATATAATGGACCTGCATTACAATGCAATGCTCCTCTGACTCTGAGTTGCCTTCTGTCTTGGTATTTCTCTCCTTGTTGCCACTTTAGATGAAACTGCTTTCTTTTTTATGTTCTCATTGCTTTAAAAGAAATTCTTGTATGTGGCATTCATACCACAATAGCATCAGAGTGACCTCTCATGTTACTTCCACACCATTTCTAAAGAAAGAAAAATGTCAGAGTTGACCACTGACCAGGAAAAGATAAGCCTTAACGATATTAAAAACAGATTTTCCTAGTATTGTAAACTGTGTTCCATTCAGGGATTGATTATATAAACTGGAGCTGTCTGGGCTACTTCTGAATCATCACAATTTTTAAAAAATCAGACACAGCCATTTTTTAAAGTGATGCTAAAACTGTTGCGCTACTGTGATTGCTATGTTTCAGTGCAGTTATGGCTTTGGTCTTTGTTGTTAAATGTGCAATTCCACAGAGTCTGAACCCCAATGCAATGTAAGTGGCTTTGAGGAAAATAACAGTCACAATTGCCACTTCTGGTGTCTTCTTTTAGCCTTCAGTACCAACTTGCTGTCAGCATGATGTGTCATGGTTTCTATAACATAATATGAATTAGAGTTGGGTTCTTATTGAGACAGATATCTGGAAGTTTATTAACAACAATGTATATTAATTTCAGACTATATATAGTCTAAGGTATATACTTACTTCAATTATTGTTATATTATGTACACAATTGTCTGGCTGATCAACCATCTGGCTGTTTATCAAATTGATTGCTGATTGCTTACAACCATACAGAGAGTAAGACAAAGATCTCTTATACTGGTGTGTCACATGTCTCAATGTCACTAGCTGTCTTAGAAGTAAGGTGCCTTTCTGAGATCTGCGTAACTATATAACACTGTCTTTTTAAACTGCTCCAATGCAGATGAACCCACAATGCTGTTAGGGAACTTTTTTTTTTACTGACATTGAAGGAAATAACAATATATTCTAACCTCTTGCCCTCTCAAGTAACTGTTAAAAATTCCATGGTATGAATTTAAAGATGGAGCGGGGGTATTTCCCCCAGTTTCCCATCCAATATCTATCCCTCACGTCTAAAATCTGCTCTTTTGTAATAATTGCTACTTATGGGAGCTTCCAGCGTGGCTACATTTGGGGAAGTGATGGTGTAGTGGTAAGATCACTAGATTATTCCCCAGGGTAATATCCCTGGAGGCATAGCTTCAAACCCCATCCATGCCAGATAGTACAATTTGAATTCAATAAAAAGCCTGTTTAATAGTGACCATGTAACCACTGCTGATTGTTGCGAATACCCCTCTGGTTCACTAATGGGAAGGAAAACTATCAAAACTCCTTATCCAGTCCAGCCTACATGTGACCTAGACCCACAGCTATGTGTTTGCCTGTTAACCAGCCCCTAGGGAAAGACAGGAAATGGGGGTGCAGAGAGTGATGCCCATATTCCCAAAACAATTTTTAAAAAATTCTTCAGAAAAGTACTGCATTGGCCAAAATGAAGTTTGGGACAGGCTGCAATCAAAAAAGGCGCTATATTATTGCAAGTTCTCCCTTTCGTTCTGGTCTGATATATGGTCTACTATGGGTCAGAGGTAAGTGCACACTCCATCCCTCCAATATAAGAATGAGTCTGGGATTTAATGATTCCTGTTCCTGAGGAAAGGTCACCGGACCTGAAACGTTAACTCTCTTTTTTCCTTCACAGATGCTGCCAGACCTGCTGAGCTTTTCCAGCAACTTTGTTTTTATCCCAGCTCAGTTAGTTGTTATGCAAAAGCTTAGATTAGGCATCTCATTTCTGTTACTTTTACTAGAGTTACTTGTCCGAAGGGAAAGAGGAGTGTGTGTATTATACATAACTGCGTGTTATAATCGGAGAATTGCGGTAATCGATCCCTGAGTTACTCAGCCTCATCTAGTTGCGGGACTTGGAGCAATACTTTTCATTTGATTGGTGAGGGGCAATACTTTCATGGATTAAGGCCAGTGTTGCACACTTCACTCAGACAGAGAGAGACACTGCCTGTCATTCCACAAACTGCAGAAGGCACTCCGCACAGGATAAGGAAGTTTAAGAAGCAGGAAGTCCTGAAAGTCCCGAAACTACACAACAGAAAATAAAAGGCTGTGCGCAGACTGAGAAGAAAACGAAGGCGTGTCCTGTGTGCGAGTGAACCCAGAAATGGAAGTTAACTACTTGTTTCTGAAGTCCAAACGAAGTGGGCTGAAGATTGCAGAAATGGTGAGAGAACGTGTAAAAAGTGGGCATTCTCTTTAGGGGAGTGGGGTGTGAGGCAGGGTGGGGTTCGATCTGAATGATCAGTGCTTTTACAGGGTGATCAATGATTGAACGGGCATCAGGCAGAGACACACAGCACCAGTTAGGAGCTCCAAAGGCTGGTCTTTACGCCCCGTTAGTACAGGATGCGTGTGTGTTGGATATGGGTGTCACTGGCCAGGCCAACATGTAACACCTATCCTTAGTTAGTTTTACTTTCGATTAGCTGAGTTCTCTTATTGTTTCTACCAATTCTGCCCATTACACTGTCTCTGATTTCAGTTTCTAATCTGATCTCAGTTTCTAATCTGATCTCTTCCTCTCCACAACCACATTTACAAAGGAATGATTTTGCCTTTTGCTTCTGTTTCTACAGTAGCTATTATAGCACTGACTTCTGCTGTTGAGCCCGCCCTGGAGAATATCCAGAGAAGATAAACCTTGCAGCAGTCCCACATCATTCACATGACCAACTAGGGCTCCATCAAAATGCTGGACATGCACTGACCAAACTACATTCAGAATAGGGTACGTACACACCTATGCAGGTGAAGACCCCTCATGTTTGAGCCTGGCTGTGATGCTTCCTAACTGTACTGTGAGTCTATCTGCACCACATCAACAGCAGTGCTGCAATAAAGGAGCTCACCATCATCTTCACAAGGGGTAATTATGGACACTGACAAATGTTGGCCAACCAGTGATGCCCACATCTTATAAAAGAATTTTCAATCATGTGCTTGCAATTTTAGGAATAAACGACCAGGTTGTCACCATTCAACCCTTCAAGCCACCTTCGTCATTCTAAATTGTAGCTGATTATCGACCTCAATGCAATTATCTCACATTGTCTCCAGATCCCATGGTGGGATTGGTATCTAGAAATCTATTAATCTCCGTCTTGATCATATTCAATGGAGTTCTCTATTCCAGAAGGCTTTGGAAGGTCAGTCACTACCCACTGAGTGAAGAAATTCGTCCTTATCTCTGTCCTAAGTGACAGTCCCAGAAAGTGGCAGTGAGGTACACATGGTACTTTTAGGGAGGGAGTTGATTGAGATTTTTCTTTATTCATTCATGCAGATGTCAGTGGCTGGCCTGGATTTATTGCCCATCCCTAATTGCCCCTCAAGAAGGCAGTGGTGAACGGCCTTCTTGAATCGCTGTAGGTAGATCTACAACGCCCTTAGGGATGGAAATCAAGGATTTTGATGCAGTGACAGTGAAGCAACAGCAATATATTTCCAAGTATTTTTTATTCATTCACGGGATGAGGGCGTCGCTGGCTAGGCAGCATTTATTGCCCATCCCTAATTGCCCAGAGGGCAGTTAAGAGTCAATCACATTGCTGTGGGTCTGGAGTCACATTGTAGGCCAGACCAGGTAAGGATGGCAGCTTCCTAAAGGACATGAGTGAACCAAATGGGTTTTTCTGACAATCGACAATGGGTTCATGGTCATCATTAGATTCTTAATTCCAGATATTTTATTGAATTCAAATTCCACCATTGGCCATGGTGGGATTCGAACCCAGGTCCCCAGAACGTTATCTGGGTCTCTGGATTAGCAGTCCAGCAATAATACCACTAGGCCATTGCCTCCCCTTAAATCAGGATGCTGAATGGCTTGGAGGGTGAAATAACTGCACTGAGACCGGTGCCCTGTCACCAAGTCACCCTCTATTTACATGTGCACTGTACATGGGCTCTGACCCAGCCAGCTCAGAGCCAGGCCCTGGAGTAAGGCAATTTTCTGAATCTTCTGGTTATATCTATCAGCCAGGACTCCCTGATTGACCCAGCTTTACTCATCCAATCAAGAATCTCATATGGCTATGGTTCCAATCACTACAGAGGGGAACTTGCAAGGGGTGGTGTTCCCATGTGTCTGTTGCCCTTGCCCTTCTGGATGGAAGTGGTTGTGGGTTTGGAAGTTTCTGTCTGAGGATCTTTGGTGAATTTCTGCAGTGCATCTTATAGATAGTACACACTGCTGCTACTGAGCATCGGTAGGAGAGGGAGTGGATGCTTGTGGATCTGATGCCAATCAAGTGGGCTGCTTTGTCCTGGATAGTGTCAAGCTTCTTGAGTATTATCGGAGGGGCATTGATCCAGGCAAGTGGGGAATATTCCATCACACTCTTGACTTGTGCCTTGTGGATGGTAGACAGGCTTTGGGGAGTCAGGAGTTGAGTTTACTCACTGCAGGATTCCTAGCCTCTGACCTACTCTTGAAGCCACTGTGTTTATGTAGTGAGTCCAGTTGAGTTTCTGGTCAATGATAACCCCGATGATGTAGATAGTGGGGGAGTGGGGCTCAGTGATGGTAGTGCCATTGAATTGTCAAGGCGCAGTGTTTGATTGTCCCTTGTTGGAGATGGTCATAGCCTGGCATTTTTGTGGTGTGAATGTCACTTGCCACTTGTCAGCCCAAACCTGGATATTGTCCAGATCTTGCTGTATATAGACACAGACTGCTTCAGTTCTACAGACAAGAGACTGAGTTCCCTATACTGAGTGAATAACATTTTACTCATTTACAGGTTGCAGCTTTTGTGGTTATTGTTTCCTTCGCTGCTTCGTCCTCGGGAGTTTTTATAGCAGTTCCCCTCATGGAGATTCTCATCACGCTCGCCTTCTATCTCTTGTTTCTGCTTAAATTGGACTCTAAAATGACTTTGTTGTTCTGGCCACTGATGGTAAGTAAAGTCAACATCAAGTTACTCGGACAGGAGTGATCAAATAGTGGGTAATCTGTAAGCGGGCTCAGTATTAAGGCTCAAATAGGCAGGCCCTGATATCAAGCTTCATCCGTACAAATATATGAATGACGATGTTACCTAGCAGGGTGACGAAACGTCTGCAATCAAACACACTGGCTCGGTGAGCAAGTCTACAACCTCATATAAATGTATGATTTAGGGGCATGAATAGGCCATTTGGCCCCTCAAGCCTGCTGCACCATTCAATACGTTCATTACTGATCTGGTTGTGGCCTCAGTTTTGTTTTCCTGCCTACTCCCTGCCTTTTGACTTCCTTAATAAGACAAGAACCTAGCTACCTCTGCCTTAAATATGTTCACCAAGCCTGCCTTCATCACTCCCTGGGGAAGAGAGTTCCTCAGACTCAATCCTCTGAGAATTCTGCTGCTCTGTCTTAAATTTGAGACCCCAGTATTTTAAACTCTGTCCCTCAGTCCCAGTCTGTCCCACAAAGGGGAAACCATGCTTTCATCATCCACCCTCTGAAGCCTCCTCAGGATCTTGTACATTTCAATAAAGGGATGAGGAAATGATAGTGTATTTATAATCTCGCTGGATACTAATTCAGAAGTTCATGTTCTGGGGACATAGGTTCCAAATGGGGAGGACACGGCAAATGATTGAATTCAAATTTCATAAGATCTGGAAATAAAAACTCGTCTAAAGTCATTTAAAACAAAACCCATTGGTTCACTGCTCCTCTTCAGGAAAGGAAGTGTGCGTCTTTACCTGGTCTGATCTGCATGTGACACCCGGAAAGGGCAATGTGCTGGAACCTTACCTTCCCTCTGAAATAGCTCTGAAAAAGCAAACTCTGCAGTTCCAGGGCAATAAAAGCTGGCCGCCTTACCCACACTCCACACAAGAACAAAGAAAATGATCACATTTCACTTGCTGTCCCTGTCCTGGGAGTGTTTGATGGGGACAGTGTAGAAGGAGCTTTACTCTGTATCTAACCCTGTGCTGTCCCTGTCATGGGAGTGTTTGATGGGGACAGTTTTAAGGAAGCTTTACTCTGTTTCTAACTCCGTGCTGTCCCTGATCCTGGGACTATTTGATGGTAACAGTGTAGAGAGAGCTTTACTCTGAGTGTTGCCCTACGGTGTCCTTTTTCTGGGAGTGTTTAATGGGGGACAGTGTAGAGGGAGATTTACTCTGTGTCTAACCCCGTGCTGTCCCTGTCCTGGGAATGTTTAACGGGGGACAGTGTAGAGGGAGCTTTATTCTGTATCTAACTCCATGCTGTCCCTGTCCTGGGAGTATTTGATGGGTATGGTTTGAAGTGGGCTTTACTTTCAGTTTAAAGGAGTAGAGCGAGTTTCACTCTGAATCTAACCCTGCGCTGTCCCTTCCCTGGGAGGGCAGGAGCTGTTACGTTGTCCCTGAGATCATTCATCAAAGACACATTCCTCACTTCGAGAGATTTTTCTAAAAATAATGATTTTAATCAGAATTCATGTATTAATTGGGTGTTTAATCTTTTCCAGGATGGTGTAAATTCTGTGTTTGCGGCTGTGCTGTTGCTGATAGTCTGTATTGCGGCTGTAGTGAGCAGGGTCACTGCTGGCATCATCACTGGTTCAGTAAGTGTCAGGAGGGTTAAGCAGACAACCTGAGACTGAGCTCCGAGCAGCTTCACTGTTGACTGTGGAATCTGTGACAGAAAGCCTGTATCGGGACATGGCATCACTCTCCCAAAATACAAGTTGCAATCTGCTCCCTCAGGCTCACAGTAACCCTGCCCCAGTGGGATCTACTCCCACCCCCAGCACCTGTCTGAGTCCCACACTACCCCCCACCCCAGGGTCGGTCTGAGTCCCACACTACCCCCCACCCCAGGGTCGGTCTGAGTCCCACACTACCCTAGCCCCGATCACTTAACCACTTGTGTTTTGCAGAGAAAGAGTCAATGTGTCAATGCCCCACCCTCTTTCACAAATGTAGCTCCCAGGCAACCCCCCCCCACCCCAGGGTATCGGGGCTATTGGGGTTTTGTTCAAGAGGTTGCCGAGCAGCACTCTGTATCCAGTATCTGGCTGAGACTCCAGTGTTTATCTTCTATCTGCTTTCTCAATGTGCACATTGCTGCCTGGGCCAGCATTTATTGGCCCGTCCCTAGTTGCCCCTTGAGAAGGTGGTGGTGAGCTGCCTTCTTGAACCATTGCAGTCCTCCTGCTGTGGGTTGACCCACAATGCTATTAGGGAGAGAATTCCAGGATTTTGACCCAGCGACAGTGAAGGAACGGCGAGATATTTCCAAGTCAGGATGGTGAGAGGCTTGGAGGGGAACTTGCAGGGGGTGGTGTTCCCATGTATCTGATGCCCTTGTCCTACAGGATGGAAGTGTTCGAGGGTTTGGTAGGTGCACATTTCAGCAGTGCATCTTGTAGATGGTACACACTGCTGCTACTGAGTGTGATTGCTTGGCTGTTCCTCTGAACTGAACCCTTTGTGTTGTTTACGTGTTTCCCTGTGAGTGTGCAAGGGCTAAAAACTGCGTGTACCTCAGGGTCAGCATTCAATGAACCAGTGAGTGTCAACCTGAGGCACAAGCAACTACTGAGGCACTCTGAGTGTTCATGTGTGACACCAGATTGGACATTCAACTCTGGGAATGCATCCCCACCAACCCTGCACTCACCGCCCACACTCCCCAGTCAGGCTGAGTATCTCTATCCCTAAACCAAAGACACCGAGAGAAATTATAGCTGTCTTGTTGTGACTGGTTAAGACAGCATGAAGGAGTGAGTCACCCTTGCTGCTGATCTATAGCTCAGTTGTACATGAGATGGGCCTTGCACAACGACACTCAGTTATCAAGGAGATGTAGAAGTTGCAGTGGGGTCCGTGAAAAGGAGCTCATGGGGGCTCCTTCCTTCTGTTGCTGGGTCCCTCAATGGGGCACTGAGGGCCTTTGAATGTGAGACCTCCTGTGTGACCCAGAGGAGTTTGTTTGTTGTGTTGTGAGTACGGAGACAGTCCCAGCACTGTAGATTAATCCCAGCAAGTGCTGGTATGAGACCCTTAAGTGGGTATTGATTAATTAGGGCCTTCCCACCCTGGGTGGAGGTTAGAAGATCCCCACCCACTCAGTTAATTACCCACTGCCCATCCCTCCAATCACCAAGCTCATTCCTGGGCAGGGTATTAAGTTCAAAAAACAGTCTTTTAGCCAGACCACACTGTATCGCTGTTGACCCTCCCTGCAGGTAAATAATCCCGACCTCATTTACCCACCCTGTTTCCCATCTCCCCGTGTCCCATTTCCTTCATCCCACCCCCTCCAACCCCATCCTGGAAACTGACACTAATTTCTACATTAGTTATTGGAATTGAATCACACAGCCTCAAAACCCACTAAAGGATGTTCTCCCGTTGCTTGTCCGAGCGCTCTCTCAGCCACATTTGTAGCTACAGCCTCTTGCTTTGGTTTCCCTCAGCTTATAGAATATTTTTTGACTTCTCCATTACATCCCCTCACACTCTGTATTGTTCCAATGATGTACGGTGTTGAACATACCTCAGGATCCTGATCCCATCTTTACTAAACTTTCTTCTGTCTAATCTCCAGGTCTTCGGTTTCATAGCTGTTGCCTTGTATATTGCGGATTCTTATATAATGTGCAGCCTCATCACAGTCAACCAACAGAAGACTTCCAGCAGGTGACCCCATGGAGAGCCGTCTCTGTGAGCAAGCTCAGCTGCTGATTTTAGTCAGTCTGTTCCCAATCCCTGTGTGATTCACAGCTTTAGCTCTGCCCCTGTACAATCCAAGAATGATGTGTTCCCGTTTACTCTGGCCATTCGTGCTGCATGGACAAGAAACTTGAAGGATTCAGGACAGTGGAAGATCACATGGCTGATTTACCAAAGAGTGGATTTTATTGCTATCAGGGCCTGCCTTAATCCTGTGAACAGAGCTGCTGGATCAGGTGTAACATTCCAGATCAGTAGAATTTCCTCTTGCTCAGTGACATCTATACATAGAATCACAGAGAATTGACAATGCAGGAACATGCTATTCAGCCCAACTGCTCCATGTTGATGTTCCAGACTAGCTTCCTTGTCCTTCACATAACCCTCCTCAGTATTCCTTCTCCTTCATTTACTCATCTAGCTTCCTCTGTGTCTCATCTTAATCACTCTCTATGACAGTGAGATGCAGATTCTCACTGTTTCCTGGGACGAGAGATTTCTCCTGAATCTCCTATTTTCTGTCTGTCTCTCTCTCTCTCCCACACACACACACACACATACAACCTGCCCAAGGGGAAACATTTTCTCTGGATCTACTCAGTTGGAATTGGTTGCCTTATTAATGGTTTTGTCTGAGATACCCATCAGAAATCATACTCACAAACATAATTATATCAGGTTGGCCGAACACAGTGATTGAAAGGAATGTTTAACCCCTACATGCTGGCTGTGTATCACTCAATAAAGGAGTTACTTCTTTGTGACCAAAGTACAGCCCCTTGAAGATTTTGTATTGTGTTTTTGCAATGTGCACACTGACTATCATTCCAATCACACCCACTCGAAAGCTCCATATGATTTTAATTGCTTTTCCTTGTATGTTGGAATGGTTTTTTAATTAAAAACACCCTCTAAATGAAAAGCTCTTGTTGTCTGATTTGTAGAAAAATTGACCTGCATTTCTGTTAGCCATTTTACAACGTCGGGATCCTAAAGTACTTTTGAAACGTTGTCTCTGTTAAATATCGTAGAACTGATAACAGCTAGCTTTGCAGCATGCAAGCTCCCACACACATCAGTGAGATAATGAACAGATAATCAGTGTTGGTGATAATGGGTGAAGGCTAACTATTGACCAGGTCAATCTGATCATCCCCAAATTAGCAGTGGGACCTTTCTGTCAAACTGAGAGGGCTGAACGGGACTCTGTTTAACTTGAAAGATGACACATTGGAGATAGAATAGCTTAATCCACTCAGTTCAAGAACAATGAGGAATGATCAACCAAAGCTGGCTTTATCAGTGATGCCCACATTCTATGAAGAAATAAAATTAGATTAACAGTGCAGCATTCCCTCCATAATGCATTGCGAGTGTCTGCCTGAACATTATGCTCACGTCTGGGGAGTGCCACATGAGACTCACAACTTTCCAACTTGGAGGTGAGTGGGTGATCCACTGAGCCATGGTTGACCTCTTGTTGAAAAGAAACTTGTCGAATTTTTGCCCCTTCATGTGGCTTTGCGATCCCTCTGCCCTGGCCTATCCCCATGTGTTTAGAATGCAGGTGAAGATCACAGCTGTACCCAACATTGCACCTGCCCAACATTCATGAACTGGAATAGCAGGGTGCAAATAACATCCCTGACATTCTCCCCTTCACAAATCAGGAAACTCCAATTCTCTCACTTGGGGGCAGGTTTACCAACTGTGGGCCATGCTGCTGGAGGTAAGATCATATGACCATGAGAGGCAGGAGCCCTGCCTGCATGCACTCTAACCATTGGCCAAACAGCATGGCCATATTTATGATGTATCAGCTGCCTAGCCAATCAGAAATTCAACAGAGTCTTCCTAATCCAATTGGATGCTTCATGATTATCAACATAACAGCCAATTTACCCATCATTAATATCCATAACTAAATAAAAGCATACAAAGACATCCTGCATGAGTGTTCTTGTGGCACAGTGGTAGTGTCTCTACGGACCAAACTAGAGGAGAGACACAAACTTATAAACAACACCCTCACCGGAATAAAATTCACCAGAGAGGAGGAGAAGAACAAACGGCTCCCATTCCTGGGCGCCACGGTAGAGCGCAAGACAAATGGGGAACTGCAAATGAAAGTACACCGAAAAACCACACATACCGACCAGGTATTGAACTTCAACAGTAACCATCCCAGCACACACAAACGAAGCTGTGTGCGAACTCTATTTAAACGGGCCACAGCACACTGCAGCAACACGGAACTACGCCAAGAGGAAGAAGAATACCTCTTCCAGGTTTTCAAGGATAATGGATATGCAGAAAACTGGGTCAGAAGATGCCTACACAAACAACATCAGGAAGATACCACACGTCCTGACACATTCACCACACTATCCTACATTCAGGAACACGTCGGAACTAACCACAAGACTCCTATGACCGCTGGGCATCAGAGTCGCACACAAGCCCACATCAACCCTACGACAACCGCTCAGCCGAACTAAAGACCCACTCCACGCCATGGACAGGACCAACGTCATCTACAAAATCCCCTGCAGAGACTGCGAGAAACACTACATCGGACAAATAGGAAGGAAACTAACAACAAGGGTACACGAACACCAAATGGCTACAAAAAGACACGACCAATACTCACCCATCTCAATCCACATGGATAAGGAGAACCACCAATTCGACTGGGATAACACTGGGACAAGCAAAGCAGAGACAGGCACGTGAGTTCCTAGAAGCCTGGTACTCCACGAAGAAAGCCATGAATAAATACATAGAACTCGACCCCATATACACTCCACTACAAAGGAAAACCAGAAGTGAGGCAATCCATCTCAACAAACCCCAGAGTTTAAAAACCAGGTGGGAAAACACACCAACGCTTCATCAGAGGCTGCACTGAGGATGTTACCAAGCACGGTAACGAAACGTCTGCGGAACAACAAACCAGCTCGGCGAGCCAACCAACCTCAACACCCACAACCCGAGCTACAAATCTACTCCAAAACTTTAGAGGTAGTGTCTCTACCTCTGACCCAGGGGCCTGGGTTCAAGTCCACCTGTTGCAGTGATGTGCAGTAACCTTTCTGAACAGGTTGATTAGAAAATATTTATGAAGATATTTTGAGGGCCTTGGGGAGCAGTGGTAATTTCCCTACCTACCAAAATGTACCACAGGCTGAATCTGCTGGGGCTATTTTCCATGGAGCTTCGGATGCTGAGGGGTGACTTTATAGAGGTTTATAAAATCATGAGGGGTATGGATAGGATTGTGAGTTTGCTGTGGCTTTAAGAGGTTATTTTGTCCTGATTTTTTTTTAAAGAAAGGTTTTAAATTGGAGGTACAGAGATGTCTATTGAAAGCCAATAAAATAATCAGCTTGTGAGGCCTTGGTTTTTTTTTAAGTTGGAACAATAGAAGCAGCCTGAATGGTTGGGGTTGAGCTCTCACAGAACCAAGAATTTTAGTCTTTTTTCAGCAGCAGTTGTTGCTGGGGTCTCAGAAGGGTTGGAGGATAGTCAATCTCTCCCGGCTGCTACACTCTGTCTCTCTCAATCTCTCTGAGTTTCCTCTGGATGTTCTTCCTCCTGGGCTGTGGACTTGCATGTGGGACAATTCTGTTTTCTTAATTTGCCTTTTGCCAAGGGTGTATTTATGGGATGTTATTATATTGGAACAATTATTGTTTAGAAGTAAAATAATCTATTATTCTGTTAAGTTTTCCAATCAAGTTAAGTTATTCCAAGTTCCTTTTTCTTTTCAGAGATAGTAGGATCTGCCGATGCTGGAGAATCTTAGATAGCAAGGTGTAGAGCTGGATGAACACAGCAGGCCAAGCAGCATCAGAGGAGCAGGAAAGCTGATGTTTCAGAATTTCTTATTTAGTTTTGATACAGAGAATTCTATTAGAGCCTTCACTTTCACTGTCC